TAAGTGGAGAGCAAATGTTTTGAAAATGACAAGGGCAATGAATGTACAAATGTGCTTTACACAATTGATGTATGTATGGATTGTGATAAGAGTCGTATGAGCCCCTAGTAAAATGATTTTTTTTAAAGAGTCGTATGAGCCCCTAATAAAACGATTTTTTAAAATGTTGCATACAGGGGAAAAAAGAGGAGCTGATACCAAGTAGAAAGAAAATGTTTTGGAAATGATGATGGCAACAAATAGAAGGAGAAAAAAACCAGAGTAAGAAAGGCATAGACTTCCAAAGCACGGTGGAAAGCAGGAAGAGTTCACAGTAAGTAATGTTCCACAATCAGAGATTCGGACTCTCAACAAAATAGCAATGCCTTTCCACTCCTGGGGCAGATTTCACAGCCTTTTCAAATCTCATTCCACTTCCTGGGTCTCCCTAAGAAGCAGAGTTGAATCTTTATCTCCTTTCCAAGGGCAGAACCAGGGGGAGTTGAGTGAAACACCTACTAGGGTGCAAATTTAAGAAGAAGGGAGATGCCAAAAAACTCGGCAGTCAAGACACATGACACTTTCATACACTATTTTCATATGTCGAAGCTAATACAATTTGCTATAAACAAAACATCATCTTTTAATAAACACAGGACCGATATTACTGATTCTTTTACCTCAGGCTGCAAATAGCTCAGTAGGGTGCTGCCCTCTTCAAGGACAAAGAAACTGAACAATTGAATAATAATAATTACCCGAGCGGGACTGTTAGGCTCAAGATGGCGGAAACAGGACCCACCAGGTTCCCATGCTATGAGCCCAGGACCAGTTTCCCTCAATGAAATTCTCTCCTTTGACAATGGGACAATTCCTGCCAAGGGTTTAAGAAACCTCAGTGACACAAAAAGTTAAGTAGCTGAAAAAGTTGATAGTTTGAATCCACCCACAGGTGCCTTGGCAGTCCGACCTATGGCTCCAATAGGTCCCAACCGGGAGAGCCCGAAGGAGTAGCTCTGCTCTGCACACATGGGGTCTCCCGGAGTCAGAATGGACTCAACGCAATGAACAACAGCCAGTCTACCTGACACTTAATCTGAAGGCTGCGCTAGACTCAGGCCAACTCAGTAAGAAATGTGAATTGACCTATTTATTCACGTGTTTAGCTCATTGGTGGAATTCATATTTCTGAAACCAACATTTTAAAAACAGATACTTACAGATGGGAGAACAAGCATCTTGAACGAGCCTGAAAAGCAAACAGAAGGGTGGTCATTTCAACATGGGAGTAGAAGAAAAGCTCGGCTCGGCTCTGAGAGCACGCTTTAGACGCAGATAAAACTGTAAACTCGTTTGGTCAAACCAAAATCATTTTACTAAGGCCCAGAACACACAAGAGATGATTACATATCTGTGCATCACAGAAATTAGAAATCTGGCCCACACTTAAAAGGAGAGGAGTGGTTGAGCCCACAAAATATTTAGTAAGTTCTACTTCTCTCAATGTTTTTTCCCCAATCTTCTCTAGGGTCATGGCGGCTGCAGCTGCTGCTGCTGCTTTGAGGTAATGCTGCAGACAGGGGACAGGGAAGCTGGGATGTATTTCTGGCGTTCTCATATTCTTGTGACAAAGGAAGAAAAGGAAGGGATTAGTCATGCCCGGGGGCACACGACGATCTGGCTGATGAATATCAGGGTGGTGCAGATTCTTTTTAATGTAAAATTTATAAACAGGGTTACTGATCTGTATGCTGATTTCTCATCAAATCTGTTTATATTTCTAGAGGGGAAAATGGGCACTGGCTAAAAATAAATCCATATCTATCCAAAGTTTCCACCTAAGTGATATGAAATCAGAGGCAGTGATATGCCCCTTCTTCATTTAGGAAATATTTATTAAGGGATGCTCATGGAATCCAGACTTTCTGGAGCCCCAGAGCTGGGTGAACCCCCAAAATGACTGCCCTGATATAATCTTTAAATGGTAAGTCGAAAACATCCCCTAAAGTTTTATTTTAAACCAAACAACAGTTTAGCTTAACTCGTAAAGAAAGCCTGCCTTTGAGCATTGTATTTGCTTGTTTGTTTGTTTTAAGAACTATCCACCAGAGATCACACTCACAGGAGCAACTTCAAAGTTTAGGTAGGAACTGTAGGGGCAGTGAGTTTATGTTCATGGAGGAGGAACAACAGCAAAGGGGGAGAATGAAAGCCCCGCTTGAAAAACGTAATCGGTGCCACTGGATTCTGCATACAGAAATGTTGGGCTTATTATGTTCTCCTGGGTACAGTAACACCTAAATCATTTTGAAAAACAAAACATTTTAAGAGTATCAAAATGAGCTGAATGGATATGGTCATTCTTCTAGAGTTCACATGGTCAACCAGGGGGATGCAGAGTGGCACCGGAGCATACAGTTCAGATAGGGTTCAAAGACTGGCCACTAAAGCCAGACTACACTAATTCTGTACAGACTCAACTCTGTCTTTGAACAAGTTATCAGATTCTCCTCCTCCAGACTCAGGTTTGTCATCCTTGCAGTGAGGATGCTAATAATCACACCAGCTCATAGTTGTGAGGGCTAAGGGGGCTAGTAGCTGCCACGTGTGTACAACAGTTTCTGGCATCTAAGGTCACCCTGGATAATGATTAGCTATTATAGTGCCAACAAACATACATCATCAATAAAAATAATTACCAATGGCAAATTAGATTTATGTTAGGTACAGACATTTTTCACAATGATTTCATATTAGAAAAGCTTCATTTCTTAGTATTACTCAGTAAAAATAATAGAAATGAAAGTAAATTTCAGGCAGCAGCCTTATAAATGGTCTTGCACACTCCTGACGGCAATGGGCTTCAATGAAATAAAAATATGTTTCAAGGAGCAGATAAGCAGGGCATCGAGTATCACGTAGCACAGATTAGTTTATCCAAAAATGGTCCCCTGATACAATCGTTCACATGCTCAACTTCCAGGCAAAAGGCTGGGCATTTGAGTCCACCACCCAGAGGCACCTGGGCAGAGAGGTTTGGCAATCTACTTCAGAAAAATCACTCATTGAAAATTCACTAGAGCACAGTTCTATTCCGACATACACAGGGTCATCATAATCCTACTTTGAGTCACCGACAATAACTGAGTGTCACCATACAAAGCAAAAACCAGGACTGTTAAAAAGAGTAGATGCTGAGGCCCTGGTGGGAACTTTGGTGGCACAGTACTTATGCACTCAGACCCTAAACCAGCCTTTCTAAATGAGGAAGCAATACCAGAAATTCTGCGGAGCCATTGGACGCTGTCCTGTAGGGGTCACTGTGAGTTGACATAAATTCGTTGGCAAGGATTTGGTTTTGGTTTGGGATCCCCATTGGTAGCCATCTAAGATTCAACTATTAGCCTCTCCCCATCCAGAGGAAAGAAAAGTGAGAAAAATTGAAAGACATATTGTCCAATGGACAAATGGATCATGCAAACTTCAGTCTCCACAACCTGAAACCAGAAGAATTAGATGGTGCCCAGCTACCACTGCCATTTCCTCTGAAAAGAATTACACTAGAAGGTCCTGGATAGAGTGGGAGAAAAGTGTAGAACAGAACTCAGATTCAAGACTTACTGGTCAGATCAGACTAGTGGGATCCCCAAAGACTATGTCCCTTAGTCTTGGGACCTGTTACTAAACTCACCTCTGCATTAGAATAATACCATCCAAGAAAAAAAGGCAGCAGTACCAAAGGACCCAGTTCCAAGGATTAGGAAAGAAAGAGGAATGGAAAGCAGAAACACTAAGAGGAAGTGAGATAGGTGATGGTCCACTGTGGGGATTATAGTGGATGGATTTATTCAAAATATATGTGAAAATTGTTGAATGTAAAACTATGATCTGCTCTGTATACTTTCCCCTAATTCACAATAAGCAATTTATTGATATATAAATATAAACTGATTAAATAAAGTAAAAATGCCAGTAAAGCATTATGACCTACTGAAATAAGATTCTGTAAATCATGCTGTGATAATAAGTAAGGATAGGGGGGAAGAAAAATTTCTTGTTTACAATAGAATTACAATTCTTCAACTAATGAAAGTTGAAGAAAGCACAGAATTTGAAATTTTGACAATCATCATGGTATTGAGTGATTCCGGGAATAATCATCACTGCATGGTAAAAACTGGTTAAGAACTAATAATTCCATGAATAACAGTGACTACACGGGAGAAGAAAATGTTCTGGAATTGAATATGGTGACAACTGTGCAACTCTTCCTGATATGACTGAATTGTATGGTATGTGGATAAAGTGTTAATAAAACTTTAAAAACTGGTTAAGAAGTATGAGATGCTAAAGCATTGCTCTTTTAAGCTATCAAGTGTGTAGTTTATTTCACAACAATAGCTAACAAACACATTTGAAATGAAAAAGATGAACCAGCAGCTCTGAAGCTATCTTATGCAATCCTGTCTGACTACATGTGGTTACTGAAATGTAACTAGCCTAAATTGAGCTGGGCCAAAATTATAAAATAAACTCAGATTTGTAAGACTTCAAAACTATAGAGAAAATAAAATATCACAATAATCTCTTTTGCAGTATGTCCATGTTTAAATGATAATATTTAACATTAAAAACCCAACCCATAGAGTCGATTCCAACTCCTATGAGCCCTGTGCAGGGCTTTTGAGGCTGTAAATCTGTACGGGCACAGACAACCTTGTCTTCCTCTGGCAGGATGGCTAGCCTTGAGGCTAGCAGTCTAGTGCTTACTTTCCCCCTTCTTTTACACATTGATGTTGAGACACTGTCTCCCCTTCCCTCTCCTCCTTCCATATCCACAGTGTCAAATATTTGGCATATATTTAATTTGATGACATAATAATTAAAATTAATTTTAATGTGGCTTCTAAAAAGTTTTCAAATATACATGTGGCTTGTATTATATTTCTGTTGAACACAGCATTGCTCAACAAAATGCAAAAGTTGCAGTTTTGCTTGGAAGCAGAAAAATGACCACGAGATCTAACAGCATAATTTTTCTTGATTGCATGAACAAAATACTAATAGGTAAAACAAAACCATCAAGTCAATTCTGATGCATAGCGACCCTACAGGACAGGGAAGAACTTCCCCTGTGGGTTTCTGAAGCTAACTCTTTGGGGAATGGAAAGCCTTGTTTTTCTCCCAATAATAAATAAATTACTGAATATTATAAAAGAGAAGTATAAATATGTATACATATAAACTCATTTACTATGGCAATCCTATGAAATATCATTATCTTTATTTTATAAATGAAAACAAAAGGTCCCTGAGAACAGAAATTGCCCTGGAAGCAAGATTCTAACTCGGGCAGCCTGGTACTCTGGCCTGAGCTGGAAACCACTGTTCTGTCCAGAACAAGAACAACCTGTGAACCTCTGCTCTTTCAGTATGCATGCATTTGATAACTGCAAAGTTCCACAGTCGACCGACCTCTAGGTTGTTGGTTGATAGCTCCACCTCTTCTATCACAAAGAGTCACGATCTCGGTCGTCCTGGCCTCCTTTTTCCCCTCAATTCCATTTTGATCAGACTTTGGGTCCCATGGCTGGCTCTTCCATAGTGTGTCTCTTCCACTTTACAGTACACGATGAGCACTGCCGTGGCAGGACCCGCGGCCGTGAGCCCAATTCCAACTCCTAGCAGTCCCTGTCGGACAGCAGCACTGCCCCACAAGGGCGCCAAGGCGGGACGTCTCGACAGAAGCAGACGGACACATCTTGCTCCCATGTAGAGATTAAAAGAATCTCTATCATTTATGTCCTGAGAAGGATATAAAAACTAGAAACTTTCAAACCTTTTTTAAACAATTATGAATATCGGTATTATACAATTCAGTTTAATCATATCAAGAAGGGCTATGCCATCATCGTCACAATCAACTTTGTTACTTTTCGCCCCTTCTTTTGCACATTGATGTTGAGACACTATCTCCCCTTCCCTCTCCTCTCATATCCACAGCCAACCAACCCACTGAATTTCCTTCAATCCCAATTTCCCTGTACAGATAACTATTGAAGACGATGGCAGACGCCAAGCAAGAATCCATCAACAATGCCCATACACAACCCATAGAGACCTCACTCTAACAGAAAGCACAGAGTATTAAAATCTTAGGATAAATTCCCTCCAACTCCTGTCTGTTCTTCACACCAAATGGTTCTGATGTGTTTGAGGCTAATTCCAAAATCTTCAGTAGTCTGTTCA